TGTCATTTCATGCGTAAGTTCACCAAACAACCTATTTTTATTTAATTTTTTTCGACGCCGGCGCCCGCCATCTTATGGCGGCCGGCGCATGAAAGTATAGTCACGTGCCGTCGGCATAACTGAAGATGTATATTTATCTCCCTCTAGCAAAGGCATTCCACTATACGATGTCATATTTTCTTTCCCTTTCTTTATTCGTAGAAGTAGTTATCTAGTATTTTCGCCGTTTTTAAGCGCCGCGATGTTGGTTCATGACGTGTCTATATATAATACGTCATTGCTTTTAAACTTTCGCGTTTTATATTAACAACATATAGTTACGCGGGTATTAACGCGGGAAATTATTATTGCACAGGTCGTGGTCACAAGCAGACTGAAGATGCGATGTCACAGTCCCCTTCTGGCATTCTGATCCTGATGAATCTTCATCTACCCCCTTATGAAAATAGACTTTATTACTAAATTTTCATTTTCTACCATATTAGGCCGTCTACACAGTACGCTGACTGTATCCACAGATGTGTTAACCGACTTTGAAGGAAAGCGAGGTTGTGTTTTACCAAGGTATTCAAATAATAATTTTCCGCGTTAATACCCGCGCAACTATATGTTGTTAAATACAGACTTTCCTCCTGCCATGTCGCCAGCAACATCTTTTTCTAAATTTAAACATTTCTTTTTGGCAACTAAGTGGTAAAATTAATATGTAATTTATACTAAGGTAATGAAATTAACTTCTATAACTTTGCGCAGTTGCAGGTTACCTCTATCCCTATTGATACTACCACCTGTTTATAGAAACCGCAACATTTTTATTATTAAACGAAATTCCATGATTCAGTAGTACAGTCCATAACAACTGAGCATCCATAATTCATAATTATATTGACCAAATAAAATTTTGAAACAATTAAATAACAGTAAACAAGCTTCACAGCTGACATTAATTACAACACTTTGATAAAAACTTAAGTAAGTAATTAAGAACTAAATGTGTGTATAAACCTATCCTCTTTATAAAGTAAAACTGCGGTTTTCCTTTTACATAAACCAATTATGTATTAGTAACTTATTCCCACTCATAACTTTGTAAGAACAATTAAAATTTTGAAAAGATCTTGTTGTACCTACTTTGACTTTACAGTACTTCTTATTCTTAATCAATAGCCTGTGATAGTCTCCGATTATAATATAGATAGGTAGGTATAAACATTACACGCCAATTAACTACAATTAATTTACAAAGAATAAGAAGGAGGCTACACTTTTAGGTAGCCTTATCGCTAAAAACGATATCTAACGTGAGACCTACTCAATTTATTGAAAATATCGGCTTACTTACGAGGAAAGTTCGATTAGTTTCAATTCACAACGGGACCTAAATAATTCATAAACGATGTCGCATAACCGACTAACTGCTCAGTCGACATCTTTTCTCAATAAAATCAAACATGAGAGTGAATGGCATAACTAGCACTCTTGCTAGGCATACGTGTTAGAGATTACAGTTTATAAGGTTCAAGCTCATCAGTGATGTGCTGTTACTTAGTGTCTGTCAAATAAGAAGGCGAATACCTACCCAAAGTAGACTCTTAATACAGCCGCGGAAACTTCAGCGTTGATGGAAAATATTCTATCGTCAACACACTGGTATTTGTTCAGATCAAAAGAAATCAGTTGTTATAATTTTAAGTGCTTAATCGATAGTTATCTCTCCTCTATTCAATCTTTATATTGCAAAGGTAACTGCGATCTCTCAATCTAATGCATTGCGTTAGTGTTACGAGTGCACTTACAGATGGAAGCACAAACTATAACATTAAAAGGATTACTTTCAGTCCAAACAAAGCCGCCCTAACAACCCATCTTAGTTTCTACTTGAATTCCAAATAATAAAGCCTCTTATCTTAATCATTTGATTTAGATACAATACAAATAAATATATTCGTAAATATGTAATAGAAAAGCTCTTAACAGCATTTGATCCGAGCTTAAATATTCTAAATAATATAATGAAGTTGAATATTGTGACATTTTATTTTAAATAAATGTTAAAGATAAAAACAAGATACCAATCGAATTATTCCATCTCTCTCTCTCTCTCTCTCTCTCTCTCTACTGTACACGTGCATGATCATTACAGAATTTAGAATCAACTCAGGAACTCGTGTTTTAAAGATTAATAACATGCTCTTCTGCCTACTTTCAGATATAAACTTATTAAAATTTTATCTTATTCATCATTAATCTCATCAGCTATCCTTAGTAATTCATTTGCGTGGTATATTGACACACCTTTTCTCCGTTTTTGTTAGTCTTTCAAAAGAAACCTTACCTTACTTAGTATTTTCTTTAAACTCCCTTGTTCCAGTAGTACAATAGATCAGCAGACGACATATTCAATTCCTTTCCACATATTGTAGGTCTTTTAACATTCCCACTGTTGGGATTTACGCCTCGTTACTTACGTCTGATGTAACCCAGTATAAAAGAAGCACACGTATTATTAATACAGAATTCTTACTTGGATATTCATTGTTCTGCCAGTCCCAGACAGTTACGGGACATTGTGGTAACCAGTGGGGAAATGTAAATTCAGTGTATCCTATCAGCTCTATTCATTCACTGCTTGTTAGTAATGTTTGAACAATCTCTTATGTAAAATACCCCGCTAGAGATCTTGTACATACGTAACTTCGACGACGGATCGCATAAAATGTATGAAGCGGACAACAAATTGTGAGAAGAACCATCCTTTTGGGACGAAACTTCATAAAGCGGTCGCGAAACGTACCCAAGTTTATCTGGCGACAATCCGCGGGGGTCCGACCCGGGCAAATTGTATTACGGCAAGGATGGTGGTGGCGAAATTGCTTTCAACCGAAAGAAATAAGATAAGATCATTGATGCACCTAATAAGGGAGACAAAGCCACTCAATGGCCTCTATGCGAACGATATAATCTAATATTATCAGCGCTGGACGATAAAACCAAAAATTAACCCTTGCAAGAGGATGATACGTTTTGTGGTTTTATCCAGCAACGGAATAAAAGCGAAATCTCGGATTAAATGTAAATGTAATTTCATATTTTATTTGTTTGGAGTGTATTTTATTTATAATGCGGCCAATGGACTAAGCCTGGTTTGACCGTTGTGTGTCAAGTGTCATCTGAATGTTAAGCACGAGTAATCCGTAAGATTAACATTATAATAATAATAATAATAAGTCGCCGGTTAGTGTCCCATTTCATTTAGATTAAAGTTGTCTAAAGGGCCTCTGCGCAGTTGGCTCCGGCCCCTCGTACGCCTTCCAAATGACCGGGACCCTGTGGTCCCGTGATTGGTAAAGACATACAAATAATAATAATAAACGTTTATTTCGGACAAATGCCCATATTTAGTTAGTAGTACAAAATCTTAAAAAACTATGTTAGTAACATCATTGTAAAAAGAAAAGAAGAAAGAAAATACAAAATATATGTTGCTTATATGCAGGCACAGTTATACAAATTCACTGTCTAACTAGAACCCGCATGAAAGCTTGCATTATTACCGAATCAAATTTATCAGCGACTACTTTCAGGATGCTATTAGTGCTGCCCCGAACTCTGCGCAACAAGGAGGCTGTCCTCTTGCGAATGATGGCATGGAAACCATCAACGCGATTATGAAGTCAATAGCGCAATACAATACGAAACAAAATATTTTAATATTCGTTAATCCATGTGGCATTATCTAACCAGTTTTAATAGTATATTCTAATAGTAGATTCATTTGATCCATTGTAATGAAGTAACATAGTAATGTGTAGCCAAACGCCAACAACAGATTAATTAATCCAGATTGCACATCTTTCAAACATTTCGCACTTCGGACACAGAGCAATAAATATTCCATTTTCTGGCGGAACTAATTGAATTCATTTGCCAAAACGTGTTCTTCGAACAGAACAGTTTGACGGTTGCGGAATGACCTTTCTATCGAATGGATAACTCCATTATTATTAATTCTATGAGTTTTGCCGCCATTGAGAATTTCATATGCTTTGAGATTAATTTTCTTTCACAACTCTAACTAGTTACCTATACATCTTTTATGTTATTCTAACATTCAATAACTTAATGTATTTAATGGAACTTATTTAATATTTCAATACATGTCTTGCTACAAAATAGGTTTTCTAAGAATCATCGGTAATAACATGACGTGAAGGCAATTGATTCGAACCGATTCATAATTAACGTTCCCTAGAAAAGTCAATAGAAACCGAAATATAAATGAATGGTGTAGGAGTGACACATACAGGAACAAATCTTTTATTTACACTAACAATGTTATGAAAGATTAATTACTTGAAACACGAAGCTTCGTCTTTTCAATAGAAACTCATTTCGTACTTAGCGCCAGAATGAAACGACCTTCGCCCTTCACATACTAAATGTGAAACGGAACCGTTTATAATTTGATAGGCACTCCGTTTTCAAAGTCAAAAGCAATGAGCTTTTTCGACCACACATTATAAATTCAGCGCGCCAAATGAATCTCGACCTATAGTCCTATATTACAATAACTCGTAAAGCCGAATAGAACGTGATCCGATGTTCTAAAGATAGTTGAAAGCAAAAGTTTTGATTAGTTGCTGAATGTTGGATCAGCACACAGAATGGACGCTCAGCTGGATAATGTTCGAGCGCCCCATCAGCCATCACGCCAGGTGCACGAATTATACTGAACAATTCATTCAACAGAAATTGCTTTGAATAGAATATTGTTTACGAAAACGTTATTGATTGCAGGGAATATGGTAATGATCATGTATATTAGGCATTCAAATATTCGGCACGTTGTGCTTCATTCATCACATTCATAGATCAAAGAAATTGGCAAAGACTTGACGGGTGTTCGTCGGTTGATAAAAAGTCGTGATGCCAAGAAGCCGGCAATGAGCAATCGATAACCTTTAGATTGAATCGTGAATGATTGATTACTAACGACTAACCTGCTTCCACTCCACTTTGTCTATAACTTCAGCGCCCGTCGCCGAACCCTCGGTCACTGGTGGGCGGAGCAGAGACACGTACTGAAAACAAGTTTACTCTTTTGTATACACCTACTTACAAACTTAGAGAAAAACCTTTGAATAATATCGACATCTTCACCATTGTGCTTTAAGTGGCACTTCAAGTACCAGCACCTACTCTGTTTAATTTTGAAATAAAATTTGTTTTAGTTGCGATCGAAAATAACAAACGTTAAGTAGATCTCTAACAAAGACGGCATTCAAAGCTATTCAATTAACTTAAGGACACTTATATAAAGGTTTTCTTTTTTGGTCTGTGGCGTACCTTATCACGTTCCAGGCTTCGTATCATGTCGAGATCTGTAGTGTCTGATATGCCACCGTGGACCACGAACACTCTGTTATTGATGATAGTGCCCAAGGGAAGCCAGCGGTACACGCCTTCAATCAGTTTCAGTAACCGCTCCGAGTTGTGCTGGTGACAGTAAATCCAATTATAGACACGTATCTTCATCACATCTATCTTCATACAGTTCCTCAGACTTAACGAAGGCAGAAACGAGAAAATGTCACGTTTTGCATACCCTGTACCTCGTAGGATAACTAGAATTCAATTCCCAGAGTTACAATTTACATTTTATCCTATAAAACTACACGTAAAAGTCCAGGTTTCTACAAAAAATGTACAAAAGATAGCGTCGACATTGCTCCTCCAGCTTGTTAAACTTTTTCGCATTTTCAATAAAAAAATCAACGCTTTACCAGCGCTTGTATGCACGACAAGCTTAAATATTTAAACATGCCTTAGCGTGCAAAAATGCATCCTACATTTTGTTCATGATTCCAATATCTCGTCTAAATATTTTTAAAAGGGCGAATGTCTTTGAAGAATTTTTTATCACAAAGTTTTCATTAAAATCGTGTGACTGTTTTCGACGTCTCAATAGATTGGTTTCTAGATTGAGGTTTATTACAACTTATACCGAAAAAAAGAATCTTAAACAAGTGAGGTAGAAAAACTGTTTTATTATAGCAAGACAGAGCCACCGCCAAGGAAATGAAGTAATAACTGCACACAAAGCCGAGCTCAGTCGCTAGTGTAGCAACAATTACTTTGTATTTGGATAAAAGGCTGTGATAACTAAGTAAGTACTCAGACACAAAGGGAATAAATCTCCTTAAACCTGTCTTCCAAGACAAACGTGTTAAGGACATTCTTTGTACTGCGGAAGCTGTAAAATTCTTATTCCGTTAGAAGAGAAAAACTTGCAAAAAGAAATCAGCATTCTCTTAGTTTCTTCAAAAGTATTATAGTAAACATTGTTTTACTTCACTCTTGAAGTCCTACTACATTTTTGCTTCAGAACCCCTATTTGTTATAAAATCGAAAAAACGTTTCGATGAAGGGTTATTTCGTATTTTTGTATAGTAAACATGAACATAAAACGTTACACAGATAAGTTGGGTAGATTTAAGAGATTTTGTGCCTTTTGTTGCCAGTTTAGGCGCTGTAGCTACCATTCCATAAGGATGAAATATACTGATCTGGATTCTCGATGTTCCAAATTAGTTTTCAGTTCGGCTCACCTTTTATCGAATTTACGATCGACGATTTGTATCCAATAGCCGTGTATAATAAAATGAAGCTCATATTTTTACCGGGGCTCGGTTTTTGGGATACAAGATATATGTGTGTATAAAGATTATTACTTGCTTTACTTACCCGATACTTTTGCTGAACTTCTTTTATGAAACCGTACCTGTAAGAGGAAATTATTTGAGGTTTTTTATTATAGTATGTATATAGCAAAGATACACTTCATCCTCAATTCCAGAAAAAAGTTTTTATTGTAACGTCTGTTAGAGGTAAAGTACGCTGCAGTGAGAAATACCATCGTAAAGCTGAGTGTTGAAGAAAACTGTTTGTTTGTAACAACACAAATATTGTCTACACATACGTATTTTAACATTTCTAAAATAGAAAGTGATCATCAAATAAATGTTGTTTCGAATAAATATATCCCTGTAAATCACAATGAAGGGCCATTGTAATTCAACGTTAGGAAGTCTCATTGAAACATTTTTAACGAGCTCAAAATGAGAAGTTTGTAATTTCGCTATTGCAAAACAGCCAGTACATTAAAGTTAGCACATTGTTCAACAAATTAACGCACATTGTGAAGTGTAACAATTATTTAATAAATCCTTGCAATTAAAACTTTTTGCATTTCATATGCTTACATAACAATTTGAAAAACAATTAAATTGTAATAAATTTATTTTGGATTACTTTGGGTTATGGCTTTTCTGGATTCGATTATATTCATCTACTCGATACTCATTTGTTTGTACAATCTGCCTATATTCAAACTTTTCCGAGAAGCATACACGATAACAAAATCAACATAAAAAGCAATACATAAATCAAGTGTGTGACTAACCTAGAATTCATAATAAGATCTTCATGGTTGCCGCGATTCAAGAACACTCCTCCGGGGAAAGCCAACATGCAAGACAATAGCAAGAGGAACACCTCCAACCCCTTCTTGCCTCGATCCACGAAGTCCCCGTTGAATATGTATGGGTTCTCTGGAGACGGCAGCCCATTCTGTACAAGCAAGTCGAGGGTTACTTTCGAATGCAGGAGAATATTGGAGGCGCCGCGCCGGCGTCAGCGGTAAACATCAGCCATTGTTGCTGACATTCGAGTGTACACATTGACCAAGTCATCGACTCCGCCTATTCCATGTCCTCCTACAAGCTCACAACTACACACATTGTATATTCACTAACATATGCTACGCAGTACAAGACATTTCTCAAACGTGTAAATCAGCCTTCAAAGACTCTAGAATTTTTAATAAAACTGTTACGAGTAAGAAATGGCTGGCATTGTCTTTCGATTTAATAAAACAAAAACAACAAAAGGCACGTCCTATTTATATTCAGTGAGCTTCAGACGAGAAATACTCAATTTTAATTATATATGAGGACTGTAATTACAATGAACGTATTCAAAAAGGACCATTAGTCACCTGGGCTGGAGGCAGCCACAAAACCTTCAGCATATAAAGCTTGCACACAAAGGGCGCGCCAAACGATCGTCAAGATACATTTTTAATACTCAGCGTTTTTTCATCTAACGAGTAACGTTCGAAATAAATGGAAAACGTTTTCATAAAAAATTACACATATTGGACCGTTTGAAATCTTTTACTCGAAGAAGGGTCTAGCATATTTTTACTGTTAGTTACAAAGTACCTAATTTATGATATGCCTTAATAGGAACACTTGTTATTTACCTAACAAAACTATAAGCCAGCCTCGGACCGACCTAGAGAAGTTTAATAAAGTTTACCCAATAAAGTAATAATACTAACCTGATCACAAAACCAGAGCAGTGAGCTAGAACATATTTTGTGAATCCTTACATCTGCAGCAGTGGCCGCTACGAAGGTCGCTTACGCAATATGTCGGCGAGTAATCGATACGCAACTACTTACATAATCGTTATCCTTTAGCCAATTTATATTTATTTTACTTTTCTACGGCCAGACCGCACGCATCTGATTTCATTCAGCCTAATTGGTGATTATCTTCACTTTGTAACCTAAACAAAATGTCGCCTCTGACACAAATCATAACTCACTTGTCGGCTGTATTTTTATGATGCGATTAACCAGGATTATGACAAACACGGGTTGTTGTGATACGACCCTTGTGTTTTTACAAACCGCCTGTTTGTATAAACTCAATTTGAACAAACCTTTTTAATTCCCGCTGGACCCGACTGTATGTGGAACGGATTGGGTTCCAGTAGATATGTCCATTTCAAATGATATATGGACTTAAAATACGTTTTCAGATTTGAAATTGAATAATAAAAGAGTCAGTTTGGTTCCATCAATTATTAGGAAACCGCCACCATCACCAGTTGGAATTCGTAAACCATTTAACTCGATAAAATGCGGTAAAAGATAGTAAACATTGATCGTCACTAACCGTTTCTTAATAATAGTAAAGTGGACTATTGGGTTTATGTTTACAAGGCGGAAATAACAGTAGGAAAACAATATCTGCAAATTAACGAGGTCGTCCGGCGTAACAGGCGGTCTATCAATCAAACCGCGGTGCGAGCAGTGGCCACGGCGCGGCGGCACGCCGGCACCAATTAGATGACGCGTGCGCCGCTCCCTGCGATGTTTACCGAGCCAGGCCGCCGGCCGACCTGTCGCCCTCCTGACGTCACATCTCTAATGAGCATTCTTGAAAAAGAACTTGAAGGAAACCCTACTAATATCCGACGTGACGTAGCCACCACCGCCCCTACATTTTTCCACGACGCAACGTCGGCGAAAATAACATTGTTGCCGCTCGAGTTTTTCTTTTTATGCTATTTTCGGCTAAATTACTAAAAGGGTTTCCCTAACTTGCAACTTTTTACGTCGTAAACTATGAACATAAAATACACTTTGTTGCCGACCCCGAATTGAAAGCAAAAACGCCTTTACAGCGCCAGCTGGTTCAATTCCCGCGTAAGTTAAGAAAGACATAATATAGGCAGCTATTGCCTCTTATTGTTTGTTAAAATCTTATAGTTACATTACAATCGCCACGACCCTATGAACGATTTGTCTGTACAAAACATTAGATTAAAACCTCATAAGTGCACTAGATGCAACGTTTCCACAATTAATTGGTTTAGCGTACCATAGTTTAACGAAGTACCTACTCGATTAAATAAATAACGCAAAGTGCCGGACAATGTTCTAAATTATATTGGGTATGGTTATTGTCTGCTTGAAAGCTTACAATCTTTAAAACATAATTAGATAGGTAAACTGTATTGTTTAGTTCAATAAATTACTTAACAATTAGAAGCATCAAAAAAATTATACTAAAATTCAAAATGTGGTACTAAGTGTAATTTTAAAATGAAGTTGATTAAAAATCTATAGTTGTAATATGCTTGTACGTATGTACGTAGATAGACTATACCAATACCTCAGTACCCACAAATGCTATTACTCGAATAAGTGAAATTCTCGGTTAGCAAATATTCGAAAGGACAGCTCCACTAAATATTGTCAATAGCAAAATATTGGGTTTCCATTGCTTTCTGTTGACTATCAACACAAACCATACATTTCCTTTTGATAGTTTAGGTAGAAGTCATTTCTGGGAAGTCAATATTTGTGGGCAATGAACTTTTTTCGATCAATTATAACTAGAACAGTACAGTGAACCTAGCTTGGTGGTTAATGACGGGGTATTGTTCATACATTAAGAATAATGTTGTTAAATATGTAGGTACACCTTTATAAAAGTATGTTTGGTACACAAAATTACAGGTTACAGTTAACGACAACAATTGTGGCGTGCGCTCGAAGTTTTGATCGCTCGAAGTCAAGTTGTTAAGGTAAAAGTTTCGGAGACATGCGTAAAGTAATTACACAAAAATGTTGCGTTGTTGTGTTGCCATTCCGGTGGGTGACGTTATTTTAGTGGTAATTTCAAAATATCTTTCTTACACGTACCTTCGTTACGTTAATCTTTTGGATATCAATCGTGTTATTTTAAATCACTTATCTACATAAGATCCAACTAAAAAAACAGTAAGTTTGTTATACAGTTTAACATTTAAATACAATTTGAGTAAGCTACGATCTGCCGACTATACTGGCCCATTATATTTTCATTCCACTGCAACAGTCAATGAATAATAAACCATATAGATTGTCATACCTTATGGAATATAACCAGCAAGTCGTCGAGTTTTCCATGCAAGTCCCCGCAGACAGTAATCTGGCTGGAGATAGAAGTGGTCGCCACGTTGATGTTGGGCATTCTCTTCAACACTTGAGTGGCCTCTTTTAATATCTGTCCAACGTGTTTCGGATGAAGTCGGTGCTATAAATAAATTGGTCTTTAGATTAGCCATGAAGCACTATAAAAGGATAAACAAAGTATCTTAGTGTTTAAGCTATTTTTTGTAATAAAGCATAAGACTGATTGGTTATTGGCATATAATAGATTAAAGGCTAGCAACCGATGTAGGTACACCTGTACCATTTCCCACGGAAAGTAATCGCAACCCACGTGGTGTAATCGTAATTAGTGTAAGATGTATCAGCAATTTTCCGAGTAAAATAAATATGTTGTGTGAAAGAAGCTATGCGAAATATGTTGACTGGCGTCTCACGGACGGAACGAAAATAAAAATATTTAGCAAATTGACATTTCCTTTCGTATGTCTCAAGTGAGAAGTACGTAACATGAATTCTGTAATAAATATTTTCTCAGAGTTCAACATCGGAAAATCACAAATGTAATCAGTGTCAGCTTTAAGACCCTAATTTCGGGAATCTGGCCACAAATAATTAGAGAATCTGTAAGGTTCTATCTATGGAATCTACCCATTCTAATTGCGGTTACATTCGGATTTTAGTTTACGAATGGGATCAGCCCAATCATTCCAATCAACCCATCTCTTCTTATGTCTGTCGTAAAAGGGTACCAGGGGATTACTGCAGGGCAGTCTCATTCCACTAGTATGGTATGGTAGATCGTATCGATCTGATCCTACCCACTGTTAAGTTTGATCCCACGTGCAGTCCTTGAACTGGCAGTAAGAATGATCGCCCATCACTATGATAGATGATATACCAAATATCTTAATCTAAGCAAAAATATTTTTTTTTTCGTACGCTTTTTTTAAAAGAAAATGAATGGTCTAATCGCCTTTACCTTCTTCTTCCTAAATGCCTCAATCAGTAGGTCGATATCCTTTCTTTGCAGCGGGAATTCGATGTCGGGGCCGCGTGAAGGCTTCGGGGGAGCCGTTTCGTCAATGCCCCCACCCTCGTCGGACTCCTCCGAAAACACTTGCTCCACTACAAAAATGAAAATAAAAATTTCGTAACAAACTAATTTCGTAGATACTGTGTGAAACAAAACATCCATCTTATTATATAATCTTATTTGCTTTAGGTGCTTACAAATTGCACGCTTACAAAGTTATTAAACATTGCAAACACGACTCCAATTTTGCAAGGACGTTGACGTAGAGTGCACAATATACTAAAGGGAATGAGTTATTGTGAACAATGTATTACTTAGAGGACTGGGAGCATCACCCCTGATATTGGTTCCTTTCTTTGTGCCATTAGAGAGCTAATATTCTACAGCGGTTGTTACTTTCGAAACTTAAATATACTATTCAGGTAATATTAAAAACGGTTTAATATAAAATCTTGTAACATAAGTAAAGTTGAACACATTTATTTGATTCAGTTTTCAATTGAGAAATGCTTGAGGACCTATATGTATGAGTGTGTGTAATACTCCGATGTAGGTAGGTTCATATATATATATATCAAATGAAGGTAGCTGTGCTGAGCTAAAATTGCGAATACGACATAGAATTGTGCACACCATTCGTGAGCGAACTACATTCTTCGAGTCAGTTGGCAGCAACCACATACAGCTATTCAACTATGCTGAATTTCTAGTCGCCAAGTGAATTGCATTGCGAACTAACTCCACTACACTTGTACCAAGTAACACGGAAAATATAATTCAAAGGCAAATCATAAACACACGCTGAACTCTGAAGATTTAATTACGTCTATTACTTCCAGAACATTTCAATCGCTTTAAACCGATAAATTATTCACATCACAGAGATTTTGTGTCAAAGCGAGCCGAGAATAGCCGAGACCTAGATTTGTTTGCATCGGTGGCAGAGGTCAATGCAGTTAACTGATTTATGTAGCTAGAGACATGTGTAAAGATACCGCAATGTTGCGTGTTTGAAGCCCGTTGAACAAGGAAAAATAGAAGGGGATCGCAAGGAATGAACCGAACAGCAAAACGGATGCACTGTATGTTACGCTTAATGAAATTAACTCGCGGACAAACATGTTTCAAACCAACCGCCAACCAAGCGAATGATATTCACTGAATATTCTTTAAAACAAAGTACATTCACTTACTTAAGACTACTTCAAACGTGTTTCAAGATCTTTGAAAATTGCATTGACCCAAGAAAACAAGTTATTTCGATGAGCTTTTGCAAACGTGTCGAGTGACAAACAATAAAACTAATAGCAAACTTTGAGCAGTACAACAGCGGAATGTTGGAAAGTTGGTCAGCAAAAAACTTTCAGACGTTTCAAAAAGTCGGAAAACTAGCGCGCACACGATAACTGTGTCGCTCGCAGTTTGTAAGTTTAACGTGTTACTATCTAGGTACGAAAGGGAAACTCACGGCTCAAGTGTCTTCATTAGGCCAATGTGGAAACCTCAGATGTTGATATTACAACTTCAAACAAACTTGCCTAACGCTATTTGCGTCGTTACAGCATTATAAATGTTTATTATGCGCCTCAAGGCGTTTATACGCGTCGTGATTACCGTAACGCATTTCACCCCTCGATGCCGGGCCGGGGTTCATCATTAAGATGTAATCTACTGAACTTCGATAAATGCCAAGGTTAAGTGACTTACAAACGGAAGCAGTCCTCGATGTTCTCTCGGAGGAGGGCCGGCCGCTCGTGTCCTTCATGTGACTTAGCAAGGCGTTGAAGAAGTTGTACAGCTGGAACAAAACATGTCGTATCAGTACGCTACACCCACGGCAAGCACACAATAGAACATTTAATTAATGGAAAACCTTGTAAGGGACGACCCCTGAATTAATAACGGCGAATAAAGAATGTTTTAACACAATTAAAGTCTGAAAAATGCGCGTTATGTTGGAAATCCATTTGGAACGTGCGAGGGGATCGCAATCAAGTGTCTAGTGTCTACACGGTCATGACATCATGGAAACTTTTCAGTTTTGTACACTCACAGTACTACGATGTTTTAACATAATATTTCGAAACTTCTAACCAACTCTGCGATTGCTACAAAAGTGCGACTCATCAGTCTTTGTTGACACTAAAAATTCCGTCCACATCTCTTTTTAATTACATAAACTCCAAACACACACGGAACACAACATCCTCGTACTGCGAAACTAAACAAAGTTTACATTATTTGTACGAGAAGCTCGGAAAAGCGGTCGTGCTCAGACGCGCTAAGCAAATTAAGTGCTTGTAAATACAACTTAACGAATTAATGTACTGGAGTGTACCTATTACGTAAGACCGCAAGCTTGAGCGACCTGACCTGCATGGCTTGTCATTCACTTTAGTATTTAATGTTTGGGTGTGGGAGAGCCATGCTTCGGCACGAATGGGTCATCTCAACCGGAGTGATACCACCACGGCCTCGCTGGAAACCGTCGTGAAACAACAACAGCGTTGTATTTCGCCGTGTGAGTGAGGTTACCAGAGGCCCATTCTTTCCCTTCCCCCAATTCCTCCCTAATCCCTAAAGCTCCAAAAGGTCGGCAACGCCATCGTAACTCTTACGTTGTTACGGGCGCTCATGGGTAGCGCTGATTGCTTACCATTAGGTAATCCGTAGGCTTGTTTGCCGCCCTATCACATAAAAACATGTTAGCTTCACCCACTACTGGCATGAAGTCACGATTTTAGTGCAGTCATTAACGGCTGACGTCGTTAATAACATCAGTAATGAATTCCAGACCATCTGTCATTATTACCAAGCTTTTATCAACTCACAAAAATAGGTTTTCAACCCCGTTTTTACCTATATAAACGCAAAAGCTAAAAAAGACCTACGGAAATATATTATTATTATCTTATGAACTTAACACACCTTGATATTACTGAAAATCCAATTAATGTTATTACTTAACTAAGTAAATTGTGAAATATTTACATTATAGCAACCATTTATCTGTATTACAAATATAAATAGATGAAAATAAATAAGGCAAAAAACTAAATTAAGTAACAAGATTACATTTCATAGTAGGTACCTAGTAGTACCTACGTGCCATATAAAAGTCCTAAATTAAGTTACGACTTACGTTTCGATGGCGGACGAGTAAAAATTTTTCAACACACTTCCTCTTCAAAGTGGCTCTTATCCCGAGGCAATTAGGTACATAATGACACCTATAATCAAACTGTGCGCTTTTCATTAATATTATTCACCATTGATTAATTGTTGTTTTTATATTATTGGTTGAATTACGTTTACCATTGCGCTAAAAAGGCCCAAAAAAAGAAACCTCATTTTATAGTCTATGGCCGATGCGCACGCTTAAAACCTGAATCATTTTTCCCGCCATTACGAAACAGTTTTCACAACTTATCTCGTTTTCTCTTTTGAAGTTATTGTGGTTGTTAAAGTATTATTTTATTCAGAAGTGTGTTGATGTATGATACCTACACGTGTGTACTGATGATTACCGTCCTCCTTAAGATCCTCGCCTTACGGCTCGGAGCTCAATGCGCCTCAACGGTTATCACCAACATTACGAACTTATACCATAATGTAATATTACTTATAAAGCTGCTAAAAATAGAAAAAAGTAAAAATGTTAGCGTATTAAAATGGCTAGCCAGCCTATGTGAATGGGCGTGCGTAGTTGCGTACCATGCGTACGTTATTGTGCACTCGCGTGAATAGTTATAATCATACATACATATATATTTATGTACATAGGTGGAGGTAGGTCACGCCGCTGCACCAGCTGACGCGCTCAACCGTGTATCTGTCTCAGCCTGACATTCTCAACCTTCATTTAAGAGACCATTAACCCCATTAGAATAATTCTATCCCAAGCTAGAACACCCATAAAATTTGAATAATTACATCATATATATTGAAAATTGAGGTTGTGAAACGACGCCCGGCTTAAGCAGGTTAAGCACTTAACCCCTACTTCAGCTCATTACCTACCTACCTAACGCTACACCGTAACTTATCAAATTCCAAAATGCAATTTGAAAATTTTCAACATAACACTAAAGCGAAAACGAACTTTTCTGTCGTTACACCAAGTATCGCAAAGGTGCCAAATTCCCTGTGAAATTGAACTTCTTTGTAAGCAAATAGTGAAAAAAGGGAAACCGACAAAATATAATAATATGGTAATGTGGTTTGTCCGTGCGTGGCTTTGCTCAGTGAAACCGAATGATCGCACTGAAATGTTCAGTGAACACATTGAGTCAATGGAACCGACGCCTCTTTGCGTCGAGCTAGATTGCTTCGTTCATCTCAAACTTTATTTAATATGACAGCGACGATGAATTTACACGAAGAGAATATTATAATCAAATTCTGCATTTTTCTTTCGGCTATATGAAGATTGACTTAACATTAATTGGAACCCAGACGACTCCAAGCTTTAAACTAACGAAACAAAATGTCCACAATTTCAGAAAGTTGTACGACTCGCAATAATAAATTTAAATTAAACGGCTGTGTTAATCGCCTCAAAGTGTAATTTATTCCTTTATCTATTTAATTATAAATCACGGATAACGAACCCCTTTTAGGTTAGCTTAAGTTTATTGTTTCGTACCCAGCCCCCAAAATGTTAAAGTTTGGATATTTGTGGGTTTTCGTCTTGGCAACGGCTAAACATGTTTAGATAAATGATTCATTACGAAAAGAATTATTGTGCTTAAGTAAATATATTGTTTTAAACACTTTTTATGTTATAACTTGATCATGACCATGCCTTACTTAAGTCATTAGACTTAAGTAAGGCATGGTCATGCAGTAAAGCACTAATCCAGTCATTCAAGATAGATTTAAAGTTGCAAGTGCAACATAGTAAATATATAAAATGTCTGCTCTTGAAATAGTGCTAATTAGGTTCCTCTGTCTTGAGAGTAGCACTGAGCAGACAGAAATGAATCTTAGACAAACTCGTTTAACCACGTTTTATCTTGACAGAGAAACGTAGATTTAATCAAGAAAGTACCACGCAAATATCGTCAAAATGGAAATTAAAAATTTTATGTCCGTAATAATAAAAGTTCAAGTGCCATTCAAGTCTGTTAGCAACTATTTATATGTTTTACAATATGGTTTGATAGTTGAGCAGAGAAAATAACCAAAGTAGGTACTGGTCATTTTATTGCATACTCTAAGTAGATTAATTTGGCCTTTCTAAAAGTTGATGTCGACTTGTGTAGCTACTCAATAATAATATTGAACAAGAATAAATGAGTATGAATACGTATGAACCTTAACAAAAGAGAATACAAGAACTTTAGGGATAATAAATTCAATCAAATGATAGCATTTTTTTTACCTTTCAATCGTGGTAAACGGAGACACAACAGTAAGACAATGGATGCGCGAACGCCGGCGTTCGCTTAGGGTTTAAAGAACAAAGCCGCCACTCATTTTGTTCTATGTCGTGGGTGCGTTTACAATTTGTGGATCACGTAAAGACTTGTTCTCTGCGTGAATTGAACACGTGGGATGGCAGCCCATTGCCCAGCCAACGCGTCAGCAGAGCGGTCTTTACACAGCATTATTAGTATAATTGAAGCTACAAATCTTGAACTTATCAGTTTTTCTTCTCAATACTAATTTAAGGTAATCTTTCTAACACAGAATGTCATAGAAGTAAGTTTTATTATTCATAGCAAGTGGTCGCCACTAAAGTTGTGTGACTTTATCAGTTACAAAACTTTGGTGGAACTTTTTGTTAGAGACGTACGAAGAATTTTATTTGCTTAAAACTTACGATTTAAATGGTAATAAGTAACTTGATATTAAGTACCACTTCTTTATCTTGATTTACAATCATCATCATATCGTCATAATCAACTTATAAGTACCCTCTTTGAGCAAATACCCCTTCTTATACGGAGAATGTTTAAACATTAATCACCATATGCTTGCTTAAGGCGGATTGGTCACTGCAAATTTATAGTAAGAAATAATAATTCTAAGTTTGGTCACGATGTTATTGAGAAAAAAGTTTCATTGGTATTTACTAAATTTTCAAACTCGCTTTCTTTTGCATGAAAAGCAAGTGCCAATCTCCGGGCCACCACGATAACCACAATCTTTATATTTTAAAAATTCGTGTCATGTGTTTGTCCGCGACTCCTAAACTGCTAAACCGAGTTTAAATTTGATTTGCATTCCGTGTGCATTTTGATCTAACTTGAAAGATAGCTAGCTAATCTAGCTTACATCTCAATTTAGTCACAATATTAGTTAACCTCAGCCACAGCAACGCGTGGCTGGGTCTGCTAGTAAGTTATAAAAAATAAAATATTCTCATGTCATTCTAAATCTGTTCCTTGCGATCACAAAACTAAAACTCGATTTCTATACTGAGACCCGTCAAACGCAACACGTCGTGAAACGAAAATTGTATGCATAAGTTTCAATATTTATTCATAGAGATATCACATTATGTTGAATCAAACAATCACGACAGATCCCTCTCAGGAAGGGATAAGTTATCTATTTGTATTTCTGAAGGGTATCTCACGTTGACCTGAATACCAAATTTAATTCGGAGATTAAATACCTTTTGGTGCGCTTGAGGTTAACCAAAAGTCGCGTGGTTTGAACTTTTTTGATTAAATTGGGCATACATTGGTGTCAAAACCGTTTCACATATATATATTTTATGTTTTTTATTAAGTACCTTTAACATAATGTAACATGTACAAAGTTAGGCAAATTAACAATCATGATCATAAAACTCATACTTACTGATAATCTTTTCCTAAATGCTGGTCAAGACGTTGTTTTAATTTAACTTTAAATATTTTTTTCTCATTAGTATCAAATTCCTTTATACTATTTTTTGTCTCTTTGACTGTTAGTATCACGAATATTGTTACTATCCATTGAATTTGTATTAGCGTAAACAATGTCAAAATAATCTCAATCATTGCTTACCTTCACTTGATCCTGTTCTCCAGCGTATTCGATGTTTTGGAATATAGTCCAAGTGTAGCGCCTGCGCACCTCCATCCGAGCCAAGTATCTGCGGTACCATTGCTGAATCAAGATGGCTGCCTTCATTGCTGAAACAATTTAAGATAATGAGTACTCTGTGTGCGAGGAAAAAAGTCCATATTCCATTGCTTTCGACTGTAAAATATCTTCTCAACTTTATCGAATCGAATCGAGATAAGCTTAAGGATTGAGTGTTATTCCATTGGACCGTCGAAATATCACATTTGAAATCTCGAATCGTCGCTCAATGTGAAAACAAAGCGTTAATGTGATTGGAAAAGCATCAACTACTTTCCAATGATGACCGTATAAAAACGGCATTTTATTTTGGCTAGAAGCTTGCAATTTGGTGAGCGTGCCAAAAAAGCCTCAGTCTAAAAACGGCTTGGAAACGTTTTAATTGCAATATGAGAATCAAAAACAAAATTTACTCAAAAAAATGTGATTGTAAGATTGAATGAAATTTCTCCGAATTTACTGACGACAATAGTGACCTATCTTATTATAATAAACGAAACCACACAAATAAAGAGTCCCACAAATGAATGAAGGGTGAACCAGGAAAACTATCGATAAGCAAACAAAAATATCTAAGCAAATGTTGATTTACGAACGATGAGTGGTTGTTTACGCACATGTTTTACATACAAAAGAAAAATTCTTGATTTCTCGGAACAGAATATCGGTAAACAGACTGTCGGAAAATGGGTCCATAAAAATTGCAATACAACAAAACATTTTCGTTGGTTCATTATAAGGGAAACCTGCGTAAATTGATTATTTCGGATGTATGGGAACGATAACAGCTGATACTATTATTTATGTGGCAACACCAAAATACTGTTAGCGGGCAAACTTTGTCAATAAGAATAAGAGGACGAAATAAGAAGAAAAATATATTATTTGCCAAAACAGGTCATTAGCTCTTACATCTTACTAATATTATAAAGAGGTAAGATTTTAAGTTTGTATGTAGGGGGTAATCTTTGGAACCGCTGGTCGGATTGCCAAAATTCTTTCACTGGTAGCTAGCTACAATGTTCCTGAGTGTTATAGGCTATAAAACATCATTCTAAGATCAAATGGAGCAGCGGGTGAAACTGCGTGAGAGTAGTAATATATATGCGGTATAGTAATACATTAAGCTATAACAATGAATCCATGAATCCATCCACAACCAGTTTTATATGACAGAGTAACAAACTCAAACAGTCACACCTACATTCTATGTTTTCCTGGTACTCTTGTGACATGGTAAATGCCACTACAGACAATTAAGTAATTGAATAATAACAAAGCAAGCAAATTCTAGTAAATATGACTTGAAAACATTGGAGTTGAGCTAGTTTCAAAAAAGTTATCAGCGTCGCGTAACGAAACAAAATTAAGTCTATCAAGGGTTTGTAAACTAAGGCCACGCATAGAGAAGCGGCACGATGCTGGGTGCGTCGTACTTTCTTCATACATCACAGCTTTCTCGTGCAAACACAAGCATTAGGAGCAATGTACGACACATGAACGCCCAAAAAACGCATAAAGAAGGCCTAAAACTGTGCGCAAACATGTGTACCGTGGTTCCGCTTAGTGCTGATAAGGGAACTACGGGGTTTTTGGCGTATAATGTAGCCATTCTCATATTTAATTTGCTTTAAGTCCCCAAAAGGTCGGCTACGCACTCGTAACTCGTCCGTTGTGTGTGTGTGTGTGTGTGTGTGTGCGCGCGGGTGTCCATGGGCGGCGCTGATAGCTTACCCTCAGGTAATCCGTAAGCTCGTTAGCCATAAAAGCTCGATAGACATAAAAAAATATAATCAAGTTTGTTTGCTCTCAGTGATATGTTGATCTAGGCAATGCCATAGTCACAGTAATTTTATTTCTGTGACATAAAAATTCAAAGTTCACTAGCAATATTTTGCGTAAACTATAGCTACGTACCTATGTACGTGAGCGTTTATTAATATTAAGTGATTCATTCCATTCGCTCATTTTTCGCAGATCGTGGCTTTATGTAGCCCGAGCCTAAGTTATCAAGTTAGATACCCTAAACAAGTACCTAACTACATAAGCTATTAAGTTGTCTGTACGTTTACGTTTATACAAAGATTTGATGTCCTTTTCATAGCCAACCTTAGTTGATTACTGAACTTCATTGATTAGCTTTCACTAATTGCTAATCGACCTAAATAAAACTACACAGTTTATTTTTATCACTTTTTTTTTCGTTGGGAAATTGGGTCATTATACCACTATCTGATGGTCTGTTTACAATATTGCTGTTATTGATTTTTTCATTTGATTGTTTTTATTATTCCTGTGTTTTTAGAACATGCAACTAACAAAGGTTTAAAATATTAATTGGTTTGAATTTTTTATAGGATAAAGCGAAAAACGACCAACCGGTAAGCAATCAGGCCGCACATGAAAGAGGTTTTATCTGCGTTGCCGGCTGTTAGGTAGTTATAGATAGGCGATGTAACAACGCAAGCGTTGTTTCACGCCGTCCGCGACCTCGAACCGAAAGTTAAATATGAAGTGAGTTGATAAAAATACTTCATAAATATCTAGGAAATTCTCTGGGATTATTCATTTAGAATACCCTATTTATTAGGTAGATACGAGTACCTGTATCTTTAGATAAATAAATAAATTATTTGAATCCCTAATAACTAACACGTACGCGGCAATAATTTACTTAAACGAAGCTCTTATCACAAACTCAAGTGGCGTCAAGTCGGCTTAATAATAATCAGAGCGCAACATATGTGTGTTTAGAGACATCCTGTACATAGTCTACATATTGGTTTCAGTGAGGCACAGCCTCCAAGCCTCCAACTGCGGTGTCAACCGTCATCTTGCCGAACACAGCCCCATATATATACGAATTTCTGAATTGCAAATTCACAAACCCAATTTCGATCGTATTTTTATCGACGGTCGTATCCAAGGACAGACTTATTACACCCCCTATATTATGTAAAACATCATTGTAAATAAGTTATATCCATGTTTTAACAAGTGAATACGGTCACCCGTATTATATTAGGTATATACGAGAATAGAATCACGAAAATAGTTCTTATTGCTACGAAATAAAATCCCTGAAAGAACTTTGCAAAAGTTTTATCTAGAACCCTTTTGTGGGATACATCAAAAACGCGTACGCTTGTTAACATTTATACAATTAACGTAAGATATTAGGCGAACCCGCATAAAGTTATCTTGCGATAAGTGCCGTTGTACCAGAGTGCTACATTACACGGTACAATACCAATGTTCGTGTGGTGGGGGCAGCGAACCGTTTTTATCTCTCTACACTACACAAGGGACTAAGAAATGAAAGAGTAGATAACAGTTAACCGAACTTGAGATGAAGGTATAGAATACAAGAAGAGATATCAATGTATTACTGCTTTGTTATGATACTATCGGCCAAGTTTTAATGACTTTGTATATTCGTGATGTGCTCAACTAAACACATAAGTAATTTTTGTATGGATAGTTAATAGTTGGACGTAGATATGTCTTTAAACTGTAACCAAACATCGAACCACACCTGATTGTAGCAATTTTCATGAGATTGCACTGCAACAACTTCAAGTTTTTTAGTGACCCTGGATCGATAAACCCTAGGATCGACCCTGCTATTCATTTATTAAGAATACCAGTAATGCGGGCGCCAAAACGAACCGAATTACTTATCAGCCAGAGTCTTATTCAGAAGGACGCCATTTTCATTTCTCTTCGACTTCGTGATGGATGAAATTTATAATTTTGAGGGCAAAAAATAAGGATAGTTGTAAACCCTTGTTTAATAAGGATTCCTACGATATGCTATTTGTCTAATTCTGCCCAGGCGTTTGGAAGTGACAGTGGAATAAAGAAATTCACATAGATAATTACATTAATTCTGAAAACATAACACAAATTTTTGGGCAGTCGTGTAAAAATTATAATACATTGCCATTACCTTGTGTGTATATTAAAAAAATCGCCTGTTAGTAAAAGAAAATCTGGAATAATTTATTAAGATCAAAGACAAAACAAGACAACAACTATCTTTTTAGGTAGGTAACCATATAGAATAGTTGTCGAAAAAGTTGAGTTTTGCAGCATGTGCTGTTGATGTTTTCTATCCGTAAAGTACATAACGAATGAATGAATTGTATGATTTTTTTGATCCAGACCCCTCCCATCCTTATCACAGGTGGTGTGACCACCGAGAAGAATTCAGAAATCCCCCCATCACCTCCCTAGTGTGACGTCACATGTTTTGCAGTTTCACATCGAACACTACATGTCACTAGAGCGGCTCCCCTTCACGTGTAAGTGAGGTGTATATTATTATATTGTCATTACTTTGTACAAACAGGGATTATTCTTTAATATAACAAACATAGAAATTATCACCTACATACTTAAAGATTTTTAAGTTAATTGAATAACGAATCGCTTAGGAGTGCAGTCCAGAATGCAGTGGTTCTGAGAGCATTTAAAAGGTCAGCCTTTGTATTGATTAAACGAGAATAAGTCCGGATCTCTAAATAACATTCAGATTGACCGAAAGGCACGTTTTGAAATCACAGACGTTGCTTCTGAAAGCATAGCATTTGCCCATTCTTACAATATTTGTTACCTATGTGTTGATGTTGATGATGTTTTCATGTAGTTACAATTATACAAATATTTTTTTTTATAGCCTATCGTGTGTCCCACTTCTGGGCAAAGGCCTCCCCTTTTTCCTTCCAAATTTCTCTGTCTAGAGCGATCTCCGGCCAAGTTTGCCCCGCGTACATGATCAGATCGTCACACCACCTTCGCCGTGGTCGACCTCGACGGCGTCGACCTCCTTCTGGTGTCCAGTGAGTGTCACAAATAAATAAATAAAGAAAATAACTAATACCCTTATAAAATAAATCAGCTTAAACGCAAATCATTAATAATAATTTTACGCGGCATTATTGTTTGTCTGTCTCACAGTTACTGTTATACTCCTGAAGGTCATGGAACATCAAAGCTCTATTCGGTTTGGTGTCAACAATAAATCGTATTTATAAAAACTGAAAGTAATTTAAACAACTGCCAATCATATTGACAGATGAGTAAAAATATAACACAAAAAGATTTGCATTTCGTCTGCGTGAATAGCATTTTACTGCGGTGAGCTGGCTCATAGTCTAGAATTTCAGACTGAGCCTAAAAAATAGTCTAGACATTACATTACTATACAAATACAAGTCTGCGCCTTAACAATTCATCAATGAAAGAAAAATGTTAATGATTTATTCGTTGAATCGTTTTTGCGTAAAAGTAAGATGACATTGACTTATTGACCTGAAGGTCACGAGGACCATCTCAAGACTGAGCTCAAGGGGCGTGGTAAAAAGCTGTGACTAATCATCGCTGTGTATTTGTGCCCTTAACTAAACATAAGATAAGGGACAGCCCTTACCTACAGAAGAAATAGTCGACCTTCCCGCCACAGATGTTTGAGACAGGTCAAATTAAACTAAAAGTGGGATAAGGGCTAGATAGATAGAGTAATAGCTACATAAATCCAATGTTGTATATGTACCTGTTCTGTAGTCAATGTATTTAACACGCAGCAGAGAATGCTTCAGCGAAGACTGACAGCAATAAAATACTCACATCACAATATCAGCGTATAGCCGCTTGCTGAGACTTTTCTCAAGAAGAAGAAGAGACCTTTGTCTCTTCTCGAGCGGAAAACGTTTGACCATCTATCACTGCGCTTGCTAAAGGCGGATAGGTAATTTGAAATTCATAATTCTTATTTCTATTATAGATTTTTTTTTAAGATTAAACGTTGCCCCACACTAGGATTTTCTCCTGTGTCGTGGGTGCGTTTACAAACATACAATTTCACATGCACATCACACCCAGACCCGGAACAACAATCTGTGGATCACACAAAGAGTTGTTCCGTGCGGGAATCGAACCCGCGACACGTTGCGCGGCAGCCAGTTGCCCAGCCAACGCGCCAACAGCGCAGTCAAATTTCTTGAAAAACTCATGCCATGAGCATTCTATGATTTATCTAGAAAATATTTAATTCGAGCAAAGGCGTGTCATGCTATTTATATGTCATCTCGAACAATTGTACAAGCATTCGTATACATTTCACAAACACATACTACCTATATACGCGTAGTTCTCAACAAAATTCTTTAATACCAAGTTAAAATCCAAAGTCAATTAAGGCCCGTCACCTAATAATAACTTAGTTTATGTGAAGAATGTGGAATTTGATACAAGAGTAAACAATTTAACCTCCGACGATACGGCTGATGTAGTGAACATTACTTGTTTGGGGAAAATATCGTAAAAATATACAGAGGGGCTAGTATTAATGATAATATAGGCTCATGATAAAAGTAATTTAGAAAGGAAAGAAATTAAGTCCTGTGTTCTACGGGAAAAACATCGAACTATTGAACTAAACTCTTCTGATAAAGCAAAAGGGTTTAGTAAAAGGATAAATGCAAATACGAACTCAAAGTAAAGGGATTTGAACTGTCGGAAGCATTTTCTTTTTGTGACTCAATCAGCACCTGAATTTACATGTAGTTTTATGTTGTATCTCCTTTTATATTGTTAGTTTGATGTTAGTAGATGAATATGAATATAGTATTAAAATTGAAATATAAAATACGAAAGAAAGATTATTGTATTCAAACAAATCTAAAAATATTAGAGACTACAATAGATACCTATTCAATGTTACTTCTAATTAATAGATATACCTATGGACGTCTATGTTATAATTTTTAACAGTAAATAAATCAAAATAATAATCTCTTAACAAACCACTGAATAATCTAGTCCGTAAATAAACATTAAAGTTAAAAGCTTAACACGTTCGAGATAAGATAATTACTGAACGAATGTCATTAATCTGAGAGCGTTTTTCTAAAGTAAAACGCGGTCCTCGATGGCTGCGATAGGCCGGCTATGCTATCAGGTGACAGAACAGGCATAATCGGTAAAATGTAGGTCAAAGTAGAACATGTATGTAAAGTTCGCCACGTCCATATCATTAACTAACCTGAACTAAGTATATGCACCGGAAAATTATAGCTAATTGATTCACATTTAAATAACATGACATTGCCATTTACATATTATCTTATCAACCATACCGTATTTTATTCAGTATTAAAATTATATTTAATACTAATGTACCAAGTTCTACTAGTGTTTGACTGCACGGTTGGCAGTGTGGCTGGACAACTGGTTGCCGCGCAACGTGTTGCGGGTGCCATTCCCGCACGGAACAACTATTTGTGTGATCCACAAATTGTTGTGCCGGGTCTGGGTGTGGTGTGTATGTGTGATCGTATGTTTGTAACGCACCCACGACAGATAAGAAAATGCTGGAGTGGGGCCACCTTTTTTTTAATTGTTTTCAATAAACACCTTAAACATAGCATGTAATGTACTTTTCACCAATCGCAGTAGCAAATGAAACTATAGTCAAACACTATTCGGAGCAGCTTTGATATTGGCAAGAATTCAGAAAGAAACACACACCCCAATGATTTACCTTTGACTTAAATAATCAAAACTTTATTCGTTACTATCAACTTGACAATCAATTTTCGTTAGAAGCACTATACTATACTGTATAATATACTACAGATGTAAGAAATAATAGCATCAAATAATAATTTCCTTAAGAATATCAATCATAGAGTTTTCTTTTATGACAACACAGCCACAATATTTTTCTACACCTAACGCGCAACCTCTTTGTATGTTCTCTAACAAAACACAATACTAACCTACTTACTTATGATTTTTCCTAACACAACAATATTGCAGAATGTTGCCCTCACCCATGGAAAACTGGGATACAATTTCCATTTGTCATGTTCCACCCTTTCAACGCTATGCTATGGTATGTTTGTAAAAGCAATCCGCCATAATCAATGTCGTTATAGGGTTCATTATGAGGCTGTGACAGTACTCTAGACTCGCCTTAATCTTGGAGAATATTAAAGTAAAGTGAAAAGCAGAACTAAGTTACCGCCATTAAGCGTTGCGTTTCTCAAAGAGTCTTTTCACACAGCACACTCAAAGTTTTTACTCGAAACACTACTTTATAAATAAGTATTTTTTTGAGATTTTCTTACATCTATGTAGTTATTAAATAACAGTTTCCAGATGCATACGGAAAATATACCTAAGTGCACATAATTTTAAGAGCGTTAATGCCGCTTCGAAACTACAGAACCGAATTTACTGATGAGACTTGATACGCAATATAATAAAGAACTTAATTAAGTTTATTTCGAAATATTTTTATGTATATCGAGCAGCTATTCGTGATTACATGTTGTATGAAAATTTAAAATTGCCTCGTCCTGTCTTTTGAACTCTTATCTGAAAATCAACTTAATTTTTAGACCATAACTTTGGACTTAGCAATTTGTATGGAGACCTGCGACGCATATACGCTGATAAGGTTTTATTAGTAGATTACAATTTGAGTAGAACATAGTGTATGTATTTCATATGCATTACGTAAAGGTCGACTGGGAGAGAATGCCTAAAGCTAAGCTAACCTGACCAGATATTGTTCAGATATACTATATAATAATATATATGTACAAACACAATCTAATGTAGAATATTGTATATATTATGTCAATCATAACTAGAGAAACTATACTGTTACACCCACACATGGATAAGAACTATGGTATAATAATGTCTGACTACTGTCTCACAAGAGAAAACAAAGAAAAAATTCTTCGTACGAAAATATAAGAAGCAGTTCATGCATCATTGGGTCGTTCTGAAGTGACGACACAAAGTAAAAGAATGCGAACCTATACGGGCTGGTTAAATATTTGTATGTAGGTAGGTACGTACTTTATTTTACCTTGAGAAAACACGACTCAAACAAAGAAAGTCTCAAAATAGTAAAAATGGGGCAAAGGCGTTAACGAGACGGCTGAGCAGTGCCCTACAAGTCCCAATAACCTGTTCCCCTATGTTTGACATCGATGTAGACAACCTATAAATATAGAAGGCGGGTTACACACACAACTCAATGAAACCTTAACTGTCGCCTGAGCCCTTTGCTTGCTGTTTATTAATAGGTAAAGACTGAGATCCAATTTACGTTATACAACCTTGAGAATATACGCTTGTGTTATGAATAAATCTCGTAAACAAACAAGTAAATTGGTATCTATTGTTAAGTGCTCCTTCTAGGCTTTCTATACGTACTTGGAATTTATCGAAAATAGAACTGTAATTTTTACTTGGCTTAAGATTGCGCAGTGTAGATTTCTATAGCCACAATTTATTGTATTGGTCTCGTCTTTGATATTCTTTATACACACTCAAATATTTCATGGCTCGTAAAAACATACGAAAGGAAAACTTTTAAAAACATCAGGCCCTTATTCTGTTCCGAGATCTTACTTATTCAATGACCGTAAAGCTGAACGTGCGGGTGAAAAGGGATCTAAGGGAAAATAGTCTTATTTTCTACTCTTTACAAAGTCGAGACGTGAATGCGTTGGTCTTACAATGATTTAAATATGAATAATGTAAAACAATATATGAATCTCAAAATTCATGTCCAATGGCTATCCTTGGAAGGCGTCATTTTTCAGTTTTACTGTCATACAAGTATGTCCTCGAACTTTCTATAATTTATTATTTGCACACAATGTTCTACTTGGGAACTTTACTGCTCAAGGCAAGATTTATAAATTATGTATCCACTTACTTCTCTCCGCCTTAGTCATGCTGACGTCATCTCTCCTCCAAAATCTTAGGAAGGGGGCGAGGGCTTTGATGGTACATTCCCCATTGAGCACTCTCTTGCCAAGCCGCTTGGGAACCTCTTGTTCTATTTCAGAACTTCGGCATGACGAGGAGTCGTCTCCCTGGGAGCGAGGCCGGCGCCCCCCGCGGAAACTGACACAGCCACATCCTTCAGCGAGGGAAAACATAGTGGGACTTTTGTCCTTCCTATAATTCTTCTTATCTTTCCGCTGGCGCGTACATCTTGGTGCTGTCTGCCGCGACTTAGGAATGGTTACTGGTGTTTTCTTCACAAACAGTGATACGCGTTACCATGGCCAGTCTTCACGACTGGCAAGATCTGTAACAAAAACGAATTTAATGAGTGACTGTCATTAATTTTCCCGTGTTAAAAAAGGATACAAAATGTAACTTAGCTAATGGGATGAAAAGACAAGTTAACCCTTAAAATAATGATCATACTTAATTAGCACTCTGACGAATTAATGTGAACCGTTTTGTTCTGTTTTATGGACAGCCGCCATACAAGGTCGTAATTATTTATGTAAACGCTGTAATTAAACACCTATGTTAATAAAATATAAGTAATTAAGGCCCAACGCGTGGCTCGTACGAATTATCCTTTTGAACGCTCACTTAAACTTTCTACATTCGCACTTTGAAACAAAAGAGAAGTTAGTTTAGGATTCTACGTTATGCAAAGGGTTCTTTGTCTCGAATTAAAAAAGCGTGCTTATATTTTTTCTTCCTTTTCAATGTTGAGAATAAAAATAGAAATTTAATTATTTAAATTCCTGTTCACAGCACGTAGGTGTTATAAATTGACGTTGAGATTACTGCCCCACCCCTAGCGTGGGAGAATCACAGTATATTTTCTTAACATTAATAGATCTTTTCTATTACTCATTCAATGACCGTAAAGCTTCAAAGTAGGTACATCAGGTCATTCTTAATTGTACAAGTTACGTCTGACCGATTTTAAAACGAAATTAAGATTTGCAAACACACACACTTTCCTCACTTTCAAAGTGAAAATGAGCCAAAAAATCTAATTTAGTTTTTCTGTATATACATATATATGTCTAAAACTCTAAATCTCTAAATCAAAGCACGACAAAACATCTAGAAAATTTATCGACGCCCTTGAGTCTAAGCGAATCCATAGAGTTTGTTATGAATGAAGGAAGGAACTTTAGAATGGCATAGGTCAGTCAGAAACACAATGGGTGACACTTGATTAATGGTCGCGAGAATACCATCGTTTGAACCATAGCTTTGTATATCATTCTACAGTCATTATTTAGGCATCAGTGACCCGGAACGGAAAACTGAACTTACTCATTCAAGAATTTCTCTATAAATTGATGAATGGATTCAAAAGAGAAGGAGGAATATTATCATTAATGAAGGAAGATTATTATCATCCCAGGTTGTCTCTAGTTTATTAGTTAAGATATCGTTTTAGTGATTTGAAACAATGAATTTATTTTTGCAAATAGGCCATACAACAGCACTTCTACACGTCAAAACTATCTATAAAAAACTAGATGAAGTCGGTGTGAGTGCTTAGAGTACTCATAATTTTGAATTCTTTTTGTCTTTTTGAAGGTATATTGTATTGGCAGAGATACAATACTCACTTCGAATTCTTTGCAAAGCAAGTTCATACATGTTGTCCTTATTATGTGTGTGTCTCAAAGCAAAATGACTCTTGTGACTACGTGAACGATGCTTAGAGAATAAATCAAAGCAATTGATCTGAAGTTATAAGGAACAATCATCTAAGACACTGTTACGTTGAATGCCCTAGAATTATAAACGTATTGGATAATTTGATTTGTTTTTCGAATACTGTCTCCTAGAAAACTAGTTTTAACTGGAATTGAATACCGGCGTGAAACGGCACTTCGTTGTTTCGCCGGGTATGGAGCCCCAATCCTTCACCCTTATACTCAAACCCTAAATCTCATATCCTTAAATCCTTTACAACCTACAAAATGCCGGCAACGAACTTGTCCTTCTTTGGTATCGTAGGTCCATGGGCAGCGCCTACTGCTTCCCATCAGGTCATCCGTCTAATGATAAGCTGCAGGTCAAAATATGCCAAAAAAGATTACCCAGACCGATATTTTTAGTTTGTTCTCCAGAGGTGGTACTATTATTAAGGGAAGCTGATAGTTATATTACCAAATCAGAAACAACAGAATCTAGAATCCCAATTTCTCCGAATTCTAAGCGAACTCATATACTCCTAAAGTTCAGTAAGAAACAGGAAATGAGGGGAACACTACATATCGGACAAACCAAAATGACCTTTAACCTACCAAGAAGTGTTTATTTATTTATTTAGGATGTCCTGAGCCACAACTTATATGGAATATAGCCAATCGATTTGTCTCTATTATGAACACCTTAAAGTGCATTTTCCCTTGACCCGAAATACGAATAAAGGTCAACAGAGAACTAAATTCGGGAAAGATGTTGATATTATTAGTCTTTCGTGGCTTAACTCGTAACTGTGGAAAACTTAGAGTAAGCTGTACTTTATGTGATAACGTATAACTTAACTTAATAACAATACTTAGATAAAAACAAATCCACCTTCTGTGAACTGTACTGATAAAAAAAAAGTTAGGTATTTCAATAGAAGTCATTTTCAAATATCAATTATCGAGTCCCGTTGACAGCATTCCCTTAATCACACATTGGAAATAAAAACAGTCACCATGTAATTAATTAAAGAAAATTCGACCTTACAATACAGGTAGACCGCAATCATGATTGCATTGCGGTTAATGTAATTACCGCGTATGTAATAATTCATACAAGCCCCTTTGTTGCGGGCCTCAATTGTTATGTGGGCAATTTTCATTTTTACGAAGTGATAACAGTCACTTTCGGATTACAGTGTATTAGGTAAAGACTTAATTAACATCATCATCATCATCATATCAGCCACAGGACGTCCACTGCTGAACATAGGCCTCCCCCATTGACTTCCAGATAGGCCGGTTGGAAGCGACCTGCATCCAGCGGCTTCCTGCGACCTTGATCAGGTCGTCTGTCCACCTTGCGGGTGGACGTCCTACGCTGCGCTTGCCGGAACGTGGCCTCCACTCGAGAACCTTTCTGCCCTAGCGGCCGTCGGTTCTAAGCGCTATGTGCCCTGCTCATTGCCACGTCAACTTACTAATCCGCTGGGCTATGTCGGAAAATTAACATAAAAAAGTGTAATATTGAAGACAAATAATAAGTTGATATAAGTATATGTAACACTTTTCTACCACTATTCTTATCAGCAGATACCATATAATAGAGGATAAGCCCATTACTATAGGTAAACAGACCAGAACTACATGTTTATAGATAAAATAATAACAAATTAGACATTTGTTATCTATGTATATAAAAGAAAGTCGTGTTAGTTACTCCACTTATAACTCAAGAACGGCTGAACCGATTTAACTGAAAATTGGCAGGGAGGTAGTTTAGAGCCAGAAAAAGGACATAGGATAGGATAGAGTAGGTAGTGTAGGTTAGGTAGAGTAGGGTAGGTAGAGTAGGGTAGGTAGAGTAGGGTAGGTAGAGTAGGGTAGGTAGAGTAGGGTAGGTAGAGTAGGGTAGGTAGAGTAGGGTAGGTAGAGTAGGGTAGGTAGATTAGGGTAGGTAGAGTAGGGTAGGTAGAGTAGGGTAGGTAGAGTAGGGTAGGTAGAGTAGGGTAGGTAGAGTAGGGTATGTAGAGTAGGGTAGGTAGAGTAGGGTAGGTAGAGTAGGGTAGGTAGAGTAGGGTAGGTAGAGTAGGGTAGGTAGAGTAGGGTAGGTAGAGTAGAGTAGGTAGAGTAGGGTAGAAAGAGTAGGGTAGGTAGAGTAGGGTAGGTAGAGTAGGGTAGGTAGAGTAGGGTAGGTTGAGTAGGGTAGGTATGGTAGGTAGAGTAGGTAGAGTAAGGTAGGTAGTTAAATGACGGGAGCGACGCCGCGGGAAAGAGCTAGTATAATATTAGTATATAATAGGTCGGCAAACGAGCAGGCAGATTACCTGATGGTAAGCAATCAGCATCGCCCATGGACACTCGCAACGACGAAGTAGTTACGAGTGCGTTGTCGACCTTTTGGGGATTAGGGATTTGGAGATTTTGGGAAAGGAAAAGGATTGGGGTAGGGGAAGGATTGGGCTTCCTGTATCATGTGTATTTTCCCAAACTATACTCTATCTTTGCCAATTTTCATCAAAATCCATTGAGTTATCTGTAAGTGAGAGAGTGACAAGCATCCATATATAAGTATAGCCTGGATAATATTAGTAGAATAAACTTCAGCTTCTAACGGAACGATATAGTCACTCCATTTTCACGTTTAATATAAAATTGATTACCTCATCTCTATTCCATGTGGCGATTTTAATCAAATAATGGCCACTTTATAGCTTTAACGTCACCGTAGCTCATAAAATAGCCAAAAATAGGGCAATCACAAAAAAGGTTGCTCTTCGTATTGGCTTTATCTGAGACTGCCGGTTTGAATGTCGGTCATGAGCCCGATTTACTTTTATTTCCCTCGAGTTTTATCTTATACGAATATTTGGTGTTTTGCTCCGAACATATGTACGTCCTTTTGTTAGGCACATTTTAATAATATACGCACAATACGTACGAAGAAGTACGAAGCAAATGTTAAATAAAATTATATTCCAATGTCAATAATCATCAATTTCTTACAATATTGTTTAACCAAATGTATTGGAATAGTATCGTAAAAATAAACAAGACGAAACAAAGTTTTATTAAAACAAGAAAAGCGGTGGTATACTTTGAACAATGCAACGGAGAGCGTGCTGAACGAAAATAGGCTTTACTGGTAACATAGCCCAAAATTGCAATAACTCTGTGCGGTTGGCGTTGCAGCAAATGCCCTCAATTTCAATGCCTACATTCAAATGGCTTTACGTTAGCATATCTTTATAATACTTACTAACAATACTAATAATGAGTCTACTACCGCTTTTAATATATTTTATCTGATGTAGATGACACTTTTATCGCCTAGTTATGATAATCCTATGCGATAGGACAAAATCCTATCGCCAAACTTTGGGCTCTAACCCGAACTTCGTGCTGCAGAAAATTGTGTAATCGAAAACCCCAATATAACTATGTTCGGCCAGGAAATCGGTTCCTTGGACAAATCGAACGATCGACCAGTTCCGTACACTTGTGGTTACGATTCCTAAACACACAAAGCTCGTATAATACCTTAGCTTTTAATCATTCTTAAATAAATAAATAAAGCCTTTATTGTTGATTTTCGTTTACATCAAAAATTATATATAATTTAATCATTCTTAC